CAATTAAATTCTTTTTTGGGTGAGTTTGGGGGGATTAATGTCATCTAACTAGTATAATTAACGTCTTCACCCTTTATTTAACTGTAGAAAATTTTGAGAACTTTAGGGCTGTACGGGTTTAAAAGATAGGGTATTTTAGTGCAATTTGGGCAAACCTTAGGATATTTAAGTGTAATTTAGCCAGTTATTAAATGAGACCTCAACTTTTGTGAAATCATAAAGAGTATAGTTGTTTTTTACTTGGTCAAACCTCATGGCTTGTTATTCATCAAAAAATAAGCTACCCTAGCTTATTTTTTGACTATAAGCCAAAATAAATCATTTGTCAAACATCTCAAAGTGGCTTATAACTACTTAATCATTTGCCAAACATGCTCTTAATAAAAAGGATAGTTTTGTCCTTTGCTTCTACAGATACGTATTCTAGCATTTTTCAAGTGTCTAGAGTTGCCAACCATGATACAGATCTATATAAACAATTTTGCCTCTATGAATTAGAAAAAAACAGCTTTATCCTTTGTTATCAATCAATACATGTCTTCTGGCAATACTCATGTGTCTAGAGTCGAAGAGTCTGGCTATAACTTCTATTTATCAGACCATGTCAGCTTCCAAGATAAAAGAATTTGAAGTTATATTCACAATAGCAAGATTATAAGTAGATACTTCTATGAAATTGAAAAGGGAAAAATATGTTTGCTCCTTAGTTCTTTCAAATCTATCTTTATGTTTATGCCATCTTTCCTTATCACAGGGAAGATATCTTCTTTAACTGGTCTTTTTTATATGTTCGATTTATCCTTATATCTGGTCTGCAAATACCATGAACACATAATCAATCATCCAATCTACAAGTATTGAAGAAAATACTTTTAATATAGAAGGTACAATAGGCAACTCTCTTTCTAGTGAATTCAAGTGAAATTGCATTAGTAACTAACCTTGACCAAAGAAGAAAGATCTCCACTTATTCAATTAGAGTCATCCACTGATAGGATCTGATTAACTTTGACCAAAAGAGAAGGGCCTCCACTTATTTAATTAGAGTCCATTCACTGATGGGATCTGGTTCATGTACTATTCTGGGTAGGAATTCTTCAGACCTAAGGTCAATGGCTAATCAGAAAATGCGACTTACATTACTAACATCTGAGTAGTAAAAACAATAAAACTCATACATGACATTCTCATAAATCAATATTTAGTATAATACTCACTATTCTCAATTAGCATTTAAATATACCTTTCTCTTCCTTTTTAAGAAGAAATGTGGAAATAAGAACGTTTTTGGAGAAAAAAAATTTCATGAAACGTTTTGCTATATTAACTATGGGTTCCTCATTGCTCACTAATCAACCAAACAGTAAAGTTAAACTAAACACCACCTAATCCATTTCTTCTTCACTCAGATAATTCTTCAATTTCTTCTTTAGTAATAAATAATTCTATGAGATCTTATTTTGAAAACAATAAATGTCTCTTCTTCAACACTCAACATTGATAATTCCACTTTTCAATTCCATATAATGGCCATTTTCCCTTCATGTTTTACTATTAAACATCACGATGCCTCTTCTTCTTCCTGTTGTGCATTTCTTTAAGTTGTCTCTTTCTTTTGAAGGCTAAGAATCAATTATTTGATGGAGGAAGCTTCGTTCTTCCAAGACGAAATGAAGATCATTCTGTAGGGGTGCAACCTTTCAGTTTCATCTAATGTTGATTTTTCTTTTTAAAGTTTATCTCTAACAATATAATGTCTCCTTTTATTCTTCATTTACTGGACTTCCTTAAAAGGTCATTTATTTCCTATAAGGGTAAGGATCAATTATTGGATGGAGTAAGTTATATTCTTATAAGATGAAGAAAAGATTCTCTAGTAGGGGTGGAACCTAGCTAGGTTAGATTAAATTGAAGTTCTATGTCAGACAAAACATGGAGAACCTTGGGGAACAAACCTAAAATGGTGACATATAATATTTGCTAAATCTACCAAATCTGAAACCCATCCTAATGTATAGTTTTCACGTTTGGATTGAGCATGCGTTGAAAAGTTATTTGTCTCTAAGCCACTTCTATATCATGGAACTAAGGTTCTCAAATGTTCTATATTGGATCTAGTCTTACAAAAATCCTGAAATAGACATTTTAATTAGAGTGATAAATCATGGTCAATTTCATTGTTGGCTACATTGTTTACACTAACAAAGCAATATCAATAAGCACTTTAGCTAGGCTTTAGTTAGGAAAAAGATGAACTGAATAATAAACACATGGACGAGGAGGGTTTTGTAAAAGAAAAGAGGGACAAAAAGAGGCTCTACTTTAGATGTTATAAGGATAGAACTAGGTCAAATCACGTAGGGAGGGGGGGGGGGATCCCCTCCTTATACCGGACGAAGCACTAATAAAGAAAGAATCTAATGCAATACATATTGGCTTTGACCTAGGTTGGATTCTTTGAAATGTTAACACAAGTTCTTTGAGTCCTATGTTTTCATGATGGTTAAATAGTTTCTTATATAAAATCCTATGCAGTAACATAAATATATCGGCTTTGAGCTAGATTGCGTTGCCTCAAAGGTGAGAGGTTAGCCCCAATATTGCGAAGTCCCATGCTTTGGCGATGATAAACTACTCAACTTATGTGGCTATCAGTTTCATGATATAGGTGGATAAACTCCAAGATGCATATAGAGGTGGATGGAAACCATACTCTAGGAACAATCAAGCTGGTTCATGCTGATAAACCTAAGCCGCATCAAGTAGAACCATCATTCACGAGTTCAACGTTTATATTCAATTTAAAAAATGGCATTTACTTTGAAGATTTTAACGATGATAACCCTTTTAGCAATTCGCAAAGTTAATGTTCCATTCATAACTCTTAACCTGACACAAAAGTTTATTCTTATAATTTCCTATTTTCCAAATTTTTCTAAGACAATTAAAAACTTTTGCAACATGCTCATTTCACAGTTCGGTTGAACCATTTCTGCCTGATTGGATCATCTATTTATAATTTCAACTTTCCTCTCATATATATTTGGATGACACTTACAAGAAGTTACCTGAACAAGAATTGAGATATTCATCCAAGCGTTGAGAAATCTTTCAAAGCTTACAGTTTTTATTTCCAAATTACAAATCTTTCAAGATAAATCTTTGAGATATCAAATACTATTTAGAGTATTCAAGACAAGGCCCTTTAGTATCTTCTAATTCTTGTAGTGCACGGATTGAAAATCCTTTCCTTATAATTTTCTTCAAGCGTCATTAGTGTAAATACATCTTCATCATCACTTTTTTTTAATGATGAAAGTGTTACATTCGGTCCTCAGATCATTTCAAAAGAGAATATACAGCCTCTAAGGCAAAGAGGGTCCTAGTTGAAAGGCTACACTTCAGGTGGAGGAACATTTAGTGAAGTTCGAAATCCCTAGAGTACAGTCCTCTCTAGGTGGTGAATGTAGGGCAAACCACATGCACATGTAGTATCTACTCTCAACTATTCCTCCCTTACTCTCTACTCTTATCGTTTTCTAGGTCACATATTTTATATATTGCTTTTGTGTTGTACATAACATTATATTAAACATATGATAATCACCTCTTCCCAAAGAAATTGGGATATTTTATTTTATTTTCTAACTAAATCATATTAACCCTCCTATGAATTTTTTGCATATTTTTTAACAAATGCAATCCAAAATAGAAGTCCAGATGAATTTTTCAACCCATGTCTCAACCGAATACTTCTTCTCAAGTTCAAAAAAGATCAGGTTGGTCACTGAATGGGTTTCCAACCAATTTGCACCCTAGCCTTGAGGGTAGAGCATTAAACAAGCAAATCAGAAAGTTCATTAGTTTGCTTTTCACCATGTAACTAGGTGGTTAAAAGTTGACACTGGATTTTTTGAGGGAAAATGAAAATGGCTCAGATTCCCATGGATAAGGAAAGAAAGATGTGCATTAATCTATTTAGTGCTAGATAAAAAGGAAAAAAAAAAGATTAAGTATAGCCTTATGGGTTGCAGATATTTTAACATGGGAAACATAAGAGAGATCATCCAAAAGGGAAAAGGAAAGACAAAACAATTATTCCACATAATAGCAAGTGTCATAGAAATAAATGCTAAACATAAAGAACAAAAAAATCATGAAAATAAATAAGGGGCATAAAAATAGTTCCACAAAAAACAAGGGAGAATTGACGATTTCCCAATTATAAAAGGATCGCTTTTTTTCACAAGATTATCTTTTCTTGTTGAAACAAAGATAGAGACTGAATTCTCTACTATAAAATGTTTGTCAGTTACTTTCATTTAAACTCCAAGGAAATAAATCAAGACGTAATTATTGCATATAAAATTTTTCAGTAAGCATGGAAAACCTATGCACAACTTTCCTTTAGAGATGTGTTGGAAAAATGAATTCCAAGCATCAGTGTGGCATGGTCAATCGGAAATAATTAGGTAGAGACCTGAGATAGGGCATTAACATTAGAAAAAACATAATTCTACGTTATGATTGCACCTTTCAGTGCAACAAATATATTGTCTATTTCCTGTTGCAATTTGAGTTAAAAAAATCCATCCAAAAGTAAATTAGCATAAGAATATGGCATTAGCAGGATGAATATAAACCTGAAAACATTTGTAAATGGAATATATCCTCCAACCACTTGCCCACCAAGATTCTTCCATATAGAGATAAAAATAATGTGACCAAGCAAGATGGTGCATCATTTCCCTCTGACATAAAAATAACATAAGTTCTATGAGTTAAAAGCAAAAAAAAGGGAATTGAATTGAAGAAGCCAATATTAAAATAACTCACGTGTTCATCATCAAGGTAATGTTATCACCTTTCAACAAAATTCTCCCTGAAATGAAATGACGGTAGATAAGGTAAAACAATTAGAGAGTTAGTGAAGTAGTAAAGGGTCAACTTCACAAAACCCCCTTGAACATTGGGGGTTGTTGCACATAACCCACTTGAACTTTGTTTATCTCACATAACCCCAATGAACTATGGGGTGTCTCACAAACCCCCCCTGAACTTTATCTTATCTCACATAACCCCCTTGCATGTAATTTGCAAATAACTAAAATATCTTTGAGTCAAAAAAATCTCAAACTTTGTCACTAGTCATTTACATACAACATATACTCTCCCAAAGCTTTTCTCCCTCAGAAAATTTTAGTCATTTATGAATTAGGGGGGCTAGGTGAGATAGGGTAAAGTTTGGGGTGGGGTGGGGGAGGGGGTGTGTGTGTGTGTGTGAAATTAACCCATTAGTAAAATGAGTGAGGGGAGAAGTTACCAAGAGCCTTTCTGGTGTTCTTCTTGGCGTTAAGTTCTTCAGCATCATCCGAGACCAGATTCATGTATTCATCAAAACCCTTCAAGCAATGTCTCATAATAAGTCAAGACAGTAACTATTTAAGCAACAATAAAGAATACTCATGAACCGAAAATGCAAGCACAAGAAGGCTATGATAAAGTTTCTGTCTCAAATCACATGCACAAGTATTTATAGATTCAACCATGTTAACAGATCTACAGGTACACTACCATGATATGCTATAATAGAGTAATTATTGATTAATTTATGGCTTGATTTGTTTCGAGTCATGTGCACAGATGCTTATACATCCACTAAGGTTTATATTAGGATTTTTGCATTATAACCTAAAACAGAATAGTTGTCAATTAAAGTAAAAAAGAGAGTGCTCACAATTATGCAATACATTAGGGAAAACAATCTTTGTGGCCTATGCAAATTCATTGGACAATGGACACGCCTACATCATAATATAGTAATCTGGGTTTTAGAAATAAAAAGAGCCTAGCTTTCAAGTTGGCCATTTAGAACTCTGTAAGAGCAGGATATTTGACAGATATTTGACAGATAAAAAGAGCCTATCTTTCAAGTTGGCCCGTTTTTAGAGCAAAATCTTCCTGAGGAACAATCGGTCACCCGGGCAGATGAGGTCGATACCGTTGCTGGAGCTGCATTCGAAGCAATCGGTCTGGCTCCTGGGCCTGAATCGTCCCATCGGGCGGGCAAGGAGCCAGCTGGGCTGGTGCGGGAGACAGCTGAACAGGCAACATTCTCCTCCCAGCCCCGAGCAGAGGAGGCCATTGAGTATTGTGATGTTGTCGAGAAAGAGAGAGGTATTTGGCCCTTCCCCCATCAGGCTTCGGAAGTGGATTCCGAAGAATGGGAGAAGGCCAAGGCAATGCTATCAGGGGTGCCGCTAGGCCCCTGTTCCCCGAGAAGAGATCTGTCCGAAAGACGACAAATTTGTCCCTCCGGCCTTTCTTGACAAAGAGACTTCAATTCTTGGGTCCCTTTCGGCTCCCATTACGGCCGTGCAACAATTCTCCCTATCAAAAGACGATCGAGTTTTGAGGAGGATGCCAAGCTTTGGTTTACATTTAGCCCTCAAAGCTTATTTAGTCCGAGGGGCTTTAGTGGAGCAGGAGTTGTATGAGCGGCTCGCCTATATGCACGACGCTTCGTAAGAACGGGAGTCTGAGCTCGCGAAAGAGAAGGCGGCCAGGGAAGAGGTCGAGGAGAGAGTCGTCGCTCTTGAGGCCCAGGTGAAGAACATCGAAATTGGCTGGGGCCAGGAAGTGGATGCCAGAGAACGAGTTTTGGAGGGGCTTCACGCCGAGGGATGTAAGCAAGCTTCCCTAATCATGGAATTGAGAGGTGATATGGCTC